CATTAATAGCTGTACTCACCAGCCTCTGCTGCCAAAATGAATCGCTGATATCATGACACAGAATGGATTATTACGTGTTGTAATATCACAGTAGGTTCAAAATGTTGGCAAGGTCATAATGAAGTACCAGCCTGCCTTTGTACACCCCTGCAACAGAAGTGCAAGTGCTTCTCTTAGTTTGCCAGTGTTCCTTCGTCATATTCAAATACACGCATAAGGGTAGAGGCAGGTATCAATATATCACATTTTATTGGGAGTCAGTAGACTTAACGAATACCAAAAAAAAAATGTTCTCTCAGAGGTGCAAACCTCGCACGCACACTCTCCATCACATCAAGATCAATACAAGCCACTGGCACACACCACTAGTGATGGCATACATTTCAAGCCCCCGATTCACACGCTTTGGTCAAATAAGTGTGATATCACACTTGCTGAGCTTGCGGAACAATCAAATTGCAGGTTTTCTCGCAATTCCCGCCCGCACAGATTTTCAGTCATAACACCGCATTTCACCGTGACCTCCATTCAAAACAAAGTCCGTACGGGGGTTCATGGTAATGCGGCTCAACAGGATTCTTCAAGAAAAAAAATCGCCGGCAGGGGAAAAAGACAAATTTGTTGTCACGTCTTCTTTTTTATAACTCTCCGGGGAGTGTCCGTTTTTTGGGTGCCGTCCTCTTTTGTAGGCAGTGGCGTCCTTTTTATAACATTGACCTGTGGCCTAGAAATAAAGAAAAATGACCCGTTCACGAGTACCGCACAACCCGAAAGTGCTCACGCTTACGTTCGCGACACGCATTCAGCAGCGAAATCTTGCTAACAGCCAATCATCTTCCGCGCATTGTGTCATACGTGTCGCATCATTGCTTTTGCGAATGTACCAGCGGCCATGCTGTTTTGACCATAAGCAGAAAACAGCCTGTAGTATGACCGCAAACGCATGACATTTCTATGACGTTATTAATGCCGAGGAAACTGAAAGAGGCTCCAAGCAAACCTTTTCGCACTTTTGCGGGCGTGTAACTCAAGAACCAGATCGTTTTGGGGCTTAAAAAGGACATAACTGTAACCTGCATCGAATGGTCCTCAAGATGTCTCTTTCAATTCAAAGCGCCATACAAATGTGGAGTGTAAGCTCAAAGATGGTGTGTGCTCCTATCGTCAGGACAGATCAATACCCGACTGTAACCTCAGAGGCTTTGATCCAATAAGGCTTTAGAAGACCCCGTGCATCAAAAGGCTTTCTAAGCTCAGAAAAGCTGTGAAAATTCGTTCGTTCAGGATGGGTTGAAGATGCCAAAAAAAATGTCCCTCTACGAAAGGTGAGCTTTGGTCTCCATTTGCGGTTTTGGTGTGGTATCGGATGGAGAAAGTCAGTGTTTCTAAAATTTACCTCAGCGGATTTCGGAGCTACCATGCACCTTCTGTCAATCTTTCTAATTGTTTGTTGTCACGTACCGTACCCCATCACGTACCCCACGTACCCCATCACACGAACATCTTGTTTTTCAACAACTCCTCATCCTTGTCTTCCATCCATCATCTCTCCTCGTCGAGTCCTTGCTCATTTTGGTTCATTGACACGCTAAACGTTTTTTGATATTCTGCTGCAGTGTTTTAGACCGCGCTTAATCTCCAGGATCGAGCACGTGCTCCCGGGGTCGGCGGCGGCCGCAGCCGGTGTCCAGGAGGGCGACCTCCTGGTGTTTGTCGGCCGCACTAACGTCTCTGAGGCCGGCCGGGACCACGTCAAGGAGCTGCTGCGGTGAGCAGCTGGGCCGCGCCGTCGCCAAATTTGGCCGGCTGCGCCCGTGCAGCACTGGCTGTCGACCATCCGCGTGTTCTGACCCGTCATATCGGCTGCGTAGACGATAGTTCAAGGCCATTACTTGCTGCGACTTGCTGATCATTTTTCTTCGTATACGATATTGCCAACAACACAAGGGCTACTGTATCTAAATAGTGTCGTCTGATCTTTATATATATATATATATATATATATATATATATATATATATATATATATATTCACCCGGCATGTACGCATGCAAGCATTAGCATGTGAAGTCAACATGTTACGCGGTGGTAATCCAATGTGACGTCGGTGTCGAGTCTTGAGCCCAGTAAGGTGCAGATATGGCACCGTCGCTCCACCGCTGCCGTCCGCCCATTGTTTTAGCATGGCACCGCGTGGTGCAGGTGTCGCCAAAATAAAAGGTTTGGCGGCACCGCACTAGTTGCCAAGTCTAGGCGCTCCCCAGGCCTGGGTTTCACATCATTTTCGACATGCCCCGTAGTGGGGCAGTGCAGCACAGCCCCCCCCCCCCCTCTCCCAGGCGCTCTGTCAATAAGGGTGATGGCTTGGCGAACAGTATTTGTCACGCCGTGCACTGGTTTTCAGAGAATCCGGGAACACCGTTCTTCTGGATCTCTATCGCAGCTCGTTGACAGCAGCCAATGACCACCATGCGCCCGGCACTAGCCACGGTGCCCAAGGGCACGACAGCAAGTCTCTGGGTGATCAGCACGACAACCAGTCTCCGAACGAACAACGACACAGCAAGTGTCAGACCGGGCAGCAAGACACCGGACCTCCGTCTGATCAGCAAGACCATAGTACAGCTGGTGAACAGGATAAGCTGTCACCTGATCAGAAAAATAAATCCCGTTACGACCAGCACAAGGATCTGGCCGACCAACAGAAGAAGTCTGCTCCTTCACAGCTGGACAGTTGTCTAGCTGATCAGCAGAGCAGGTCTTTGTCAGATCGGCAGAACAGTTCTCCGCTCGATCAGCTGGGCAAGCCTCTGACTGATCGGCAGGAAAAGAAACCGGTCGATCAGAGGCAGGCTTCGGCTGACCAGCAGGATAAGGCTTCGTGTGGACAGCAAGACAAGACGCCTAGCGAGCCGCCGGATACCTATCCGCCTGATGGTCTCGCGCCTCCACAGAAGTTCGTTCGAAGTGAGCCAGCCGCAGGCTTGGCCACCACCGATCCTGCAGACGCCCCAGAAGCCGACGTCACGCGTGATTATCCCGCTTCCGCCCCCGCCTGCAAACAGGGCTCTGCCGGAGAGCTCATCTGCGCTCCTACTGCAGCTGTCCGGACCGCAGACCGGACTGGGAGCTCAGCGGACCGGAATGGGAGCTCAGCAGACCGGGCTGGGAGCTCAGCAGACCGGACTGGGAGCTCAGCAGACCGGACTGGGAGCTCAGCAGACCGGACTGGGAGTTCAGCAGACCGGACTGGGAGCTCAGCAGACCGGGCTGGGAGCTCAGCAGGTCGGACTGGGGGCTCAGCAGACTTGACTGGGAGCTCAGCAGACAGGTCCATGAGCCCGGCACCCAGTGCCTCGGGCAGCCCAAGCCCGGTCGTCGAGACCGGTCCTCAGCCCGTTCGAGCTGGCCGAGAATGGAGCCGAGCTGAGCCGGCTGAAGACCGCCGGTGCCCAGCAAAGGAGGCGGCTCCAGCGCGGCGGGTCAGCTGTCCTGAGGAGCGCGCCGGCCTGCTGGACGAGCCTCCGCCACGCGCTCGGCGCCTCTCCGTGCCGCGCATCCTGGTCCACCGGCCGGACGAGCCGGAGCGCCACGCCGCCCGCGCGAGCGTCGGCCCGCGGCCGGAAGAGTCGGGCCGGTCTGAGGCGCCCCCCGCCAACGACCCGGGTCAGTCAACCCAGAGCTGCCAGCGGCCGGTGACGGACGTGGCAGCCGAGCTGACGCGGCGTGTTGTCCGAACGGCCGCCGGTCGCCACGGCACCGGACAAGGCAGACGCCGGGACTCGCGGGGCGACCGAAATCTGGGAGCGCCTCAGGCACGGAACAGGGCAGCGCGTTACCATGGTGACGTAAACAACCCGCTCCAGAACGTCGGCCGGACGTCGGCCGTTCCGGGACGTCTGCCGGATGTGACTGATGTCGCGAGCAGCGACCGAGTCATATCGGAAAGCACGTCCGCTGACGCGCCGCGCCCAGCTCCAGCGCCAGCGCCCCAGAGCGCTGGCGCTGCGCCGAACCGGCCGCCGCGACCCGACACGCCCGTTGATGAATTTACCCTGCGGCGGTACGGGGCCAGCTGTCGACCGCCGCGAGTCGCCGCCGGCCAGACCCCAGCCGCCTCGCGGGGTCAGTATGGCCGCTTGGTGGCCCAGCGGCTGGCGACGTTCGAGCCGGCGCCGGGTGCGGTTGAGGGCGGGCGCCGGTCAGGTCATCACGCCCGTCCGGGGTGCAGTGCCGATGAGCAGCGCCACCGTTCTGGCGCTGTAGACGGCTCAGAACAGAGCCTCCGAACGTTGCCATCCACCTCACAGCAGGCGTCTCAGCCAAAGGTGGGAGCTGCCTCGAGGGCACAACAGCCGCTTTCAGGGTCGGGCGCAATTATCGACTCGTCTCGCGACGGAGACGCAGCGAAAGTTCCCCCACACGCGCTGCAACGCCACGCCCCGCAATCATCTGGAGATGCGGCCGGATCTCCTTCCTGCGTGCAGATGACTGCGTTCTCCGCATCAGTGGAGCAGGTCGGCTGTTCAGCTGATGCTGATAATATCCGGACGGTGAGGCCTGCCGGGGTCAGCACAGCAGCCCGCGTGATGGAAGACAGATCCCGGGACATAGTGCGCTCCTCGGACCCCAAGGCCATCAGCTTCGATGAACACGGGGCTTCGCTGGGACCGAGGAAGCCCTCAATCTGCAGCCAGCTACCGGAAGCTGGCGTTCTGGCCGTCCCGCTGGCGGTAGGCGGTGAGGCGGGTGGTGACCAGACGGCTGCCTCTGACTGCCAGCGTGGCCTTGGTCCGTCGCATGCGGTTAGCTCTGGGGGGCTCTACCATTCGGGGGCGGCCAGCGGTTGCGACGATGATTCCACATCTACGGTGCCTGCCAGCTCCCACACTGATGCCATCCGCGCTGAAACAACGGAGGCCGGTTCAGGAGAGGTCACTTGTCTCTCCCCCTCGGAAACCGACAGCACCAGCAAGCGTCCGGTCTCCAAATCTCCCACGATGGGAGGCCAGCTGCCTCGCCCAGACCTAGAACGCTGCCACGAGCGGAGCGCCGCCGCCAGAACCCAGCCGCCGTGGGGCTGTACCGCCAGCAGCGCGCCATCGGGCGCCACTCCGTGCGCCGCGCCGCCGGTGCCGGCCGACTGCCCCACCCCGCAACAGGCATCGGACAGCGGCGAGGATGACGTCACAGACGGGTCGGAGCTGCACGACTGGGTTGTTCAGGTGAGGGCTGCTCTGGGCTGCACTCGGTTCGGACCCGCTCCAATCAGCCGGGACTATAGCTTCTTTAGCGTTGCTAAAGGCACGCTTAAGGACCAGGCGGGGAGACATGATTCGGCACATAACTGTTGAAGGCCCACTCGCTTTTAGCAGAGGCTATGACTTCTTTAGCGTTGCTAAAGGCAAGCTTAAGGACCAGGCGGGGAGAGATGATCCGGTACATAACTGTTGAATGCCCACTCGCTTTTAGCAGAGGCTATGGCTTCTTTAGCGTTGCTAAAGGCACGCCTAAGGACCAGGCGAGGAGACATGATCCGGCACATAACTGTTGAAAGCCCGCTTGCTTTTTAGAACGCGCTGCCGACTGGAGCGTATGTCGGCGGTGTGGCTTTAACTGAAATCGTTTACGGCAGTTGAAGACTCAACTGTTTCCCAGCCGCCAGGCATCTCTAGTTTCCCAAACGTCCATTTAACCATCTTAGCGGTTAAATGGGCGTCTGGGAAACTAGAGATGCGCGGCTTGATTTTCCGCGTTGCCCGCCCTTTCCGCCAGAGTGAGATACGGGCCTCAGGGCCCTGTCTGTCACCTCGCTCGGCCCTGCCTGTCGCACCCGCTCAGCCCTGTCTGTCGTACCCGCTCAGCCCTGGTCTGTCACACCCGCTCAGCCCTGTCTGTCACACCCCGCTCAGCCCTGTCTGTCACACCCGCTCAGCCCTGTCTGTCACCCCGCTCGGCCCT